GAACCACAACTTCGTGAAGAGAGCGTCAACATAGATGGATAGATATTTGTCACTCTCCACTACATCCATCCACCCCTCTCAACGACTCAGCGTTTTCCGCAAATAGTGCATCGTGCGGACAAAGGGCCCTCTCTAGCCAGTCTGCTCCCTTTGACACGACAGCTCTCTGCGCGTCACAGGCACTCGCGACGGCTGGTCCTCGCGGAGGGGAACGTCCACCTGCATCGCCAGTGAAGCTGCTGCTGCGCCGACCAGCTCAGCTTGCGCTCTGGTCGTCCATGCAGCAACGCGCCTGAAAGCTTACTTCTGCTAGTCAGCCGTTTACCGGCTCTGCTGTTTGGTGCAACATGCACCCCATTGCTGGGCCTTCCTCTTTGGCGATGCAACCCGGGGGTGATCCGACCGCCGCCGAGGAGCAAGGACCCAAGCGTCGACGGGTGAGTGAGATGCGCAGCCTTTTGCCGCGAAGCCTTCCACCACAAGCACATGACTGGAGGCCCGCAAATACCCAATCGACTCACCTTGGACCCTTTGATCACTTCCGCCCACAGATCTGGGCTGCCTGCGAGCTCTGCCGAACAAGAAAAGTGAGAAATTTCATGGGCCCTCTTTCATGCTATTCTCACGATTTCTTTTCCCATGTGTCCATGTAATCTTGTCCTGCGCTGGCGCACAGGCTCGCTGCAATGGAGAGCATCCTTGCAGCGCTTGCATCAACAAAGCTCGCTCTGCTATGCCTCGAACTCCGGGGCGAGCGGCTCATTCCGCAGCTATCGAAGCCCATGCTCTGAACCTGTGCATCTTCGATTGGGATCGTGCTCCGCGGGGACCCAAGGCGAAGCCCCAGGCAGCGACTGGGGCAAACTCTTCGACCTCAGGCGTGCCAGCTTCGAATGCTGCCCAGACGAAAGCCAAGAAGGCGCCGCTGCCAGCGAGAGGGGCGCCGCGGAGCGACAGGAGTGCCGGGTCTGCATACATGGCTGCGAGAGCAACTGGATCCGGAGCGAGGAGAGACAGTAATTCAGCGGATGGCAGTAGTCCGAGCACGGTACTCGGTCCTTCGCCCAGCTCTTCAGCAAATGGTGAGTGAAGAAGCTGTCACGAATGCTCGCGTCTGGTGAGGCACTCGGTGTCCCACATTGATAAGCTGTCCCATCGCTTTTTCACCGTTGTCAGGGCACTTTGCTGCGGTGCCGTCAGCAGCCTCCTCTCCCGGCGGAACCACCTCCTCCGCCGCCTTTTTCCATCAGAATCGATCTTCTGCCGCATTTGCAGCCATGCACCTCGGTCCTGGGGCGCATGAGCCCCCTCAATTTCCTCTGCAGGCTCCGCGAGCAAATATGGCGCCGTATCCATACTGGCAAGACCAGCCGAATCCAAACCCGAACGATATCATCAATCGTGCAGCGGGCACAAGTCACGAGTTAGTATACTCGCACCACGGCCCCATATCTGTCGACTTGACCCATGCGCCCTCTACGAGCAGCGCGCAAAGTGGAAGCAGCCGGTTGAAATCGCCAATTTCGCCACTGCAAACCAGTGCAGGTTTATGGGCCGCCAGTAGCCCTTACACGCAGCTCTACGCCCCACCGCCCTCGACGGATCCGACGTCGCCGCCACCCTCTTCGTGGTCGGGTGTGGATCCTGCATCCGCCCGGTCAGCTGGAGCGACAAGTCCGCAATTGAACGCTCAGCAGCCGCAGCCGCCGCCCTCAACGCTGGATCGTAGACGTAGCTTCATCTCGTCGCTTCTGAATGTAAGTGCGGACTGTCCTGCTCCTGATTACCTTGGTCGACTAATTCAATGACCCTCTTGACCACCGCGCAGCAACTGCAACAATACTACTCCCGAGATGACAGGCTCTACATCGCACTAGCGGTCGCGCAATTTGCAGATTTGGACGCGTCCACGAAGCTCTTTCCGGCCAGGATCCTGTGGGGTGTTGACCCGATGACGGGCGAGCAACCTCCACCAATTCCGAATCACCTGCAAATTGCGCTGCTTTCCTTGCTAGCTCATAGAGCTTTGCTCCTTCCTGGCGAGCGTAGCGAACGTGACCTTGAAGCTGTCGAGGCGGGCGTTCGAGATGAACTACTCCGATGCAAGCTGACCAACGAGCAATTGAGGGAAGGGCTGCTTGGGTTTGCTCGACGTAGCTGGAATATCGCGCACGACTTGCTCCTACAGCTCATCGCTGAAGGTGCCGTAGACCCCCTTTTACTATTGACAGGTGAGCGCACGTGGGATTTCCGAGGTTGCTTGCGGAGCGGGCTGACACATGTTTTCGCTTCTCCAAAGGATACGCTCTTGACATGTCAGCATCCGAAGATGGTATTTCGTCACACTCGATGCTGGAAATGAAGGTGAGTGCGACGTTTCCAATCGCGATGGCGGAGTGGGCATCCCATTCATACCTCTAATTTCTAATGCTGCTCCTGCGCCCGCTAGGCTTGGTTGTTCTATGTGCTTCGCGCCTGGCGCCTCGACGTTCTCGATTTACCTGCTCACATATCGCCTGAGGAGGACAGTACATCTCTGAGCGAGGAACAATCCGAGAAAGAATTGGCGCAGTTCACGGAAGGCACGCCAAGGCCTCGCAAGTGCGACGCTCGATTCTACGTTCAGTATCCTCCGGATCGCGATGCTCTGCGACGCGTGACACTAATCATCTGCTCGAGCTACGTCTGGACCCGCACCTCGGATGATTTCGAAGCCACGCCGTTCTCGCTTTCTTCTCTGAAGATCAGCCTCGTGGGCTCCGACAATCTTATACATCGTGTGAGTTGTCGGCGAGGAGATGAAGCGTATGCGATGCTTGGGCTGAGTTTGATGTTCGTTTCGTGCTGCAGGGCGCAGCATGGACTCCGACCAGGAGGGACGGCGCAATGACAGACACATCAGTCTTTGCAGTCCAGCACGTTGCTTTTCTGCTCTTTGGGAGGATCATCCGCATGCTCAATACGCCCCTTGAGGTGCTTCTCGCGGAGAACGGCCCTGAGCCAGATCTCCAGAAGGCGGTCGACGAAATCGAGGAGACATTGCAGTGGGCCAAGGCATGTCTGCCAATGCCAAAACTTGATGGTAAGTGCTGCAGTGTTTGCTCTCCACGCGGAGCCATGTATAGCAACTCGATGGTAATTTTGACTGACGAGCCCCACCACCCGTCTCCGACAGGCTCAGAGATGCCTTTGGCAGTCTCGGGGTTCCTGCACCTGCGCGTCATAGATCTGCTTGCTTACAGACTCTTCGCAGCTATTGTGCTGTTCCAAAATTTCGTTGCCGACGAGCCAGAGGTTGCGACCAGCTCTCTGCGCTTGCAAGTCATTATGGAGCCGACTCCAGATCTGAGCAGCCAGTATGAAACCCTGCGCACAGGTCATCTGAAAAACAATTATAGCCTGGAGCAGGCTATGGATGCGCCGCTCAGTGCTTCGGCACGCCCTGAGAGACCTCCACCCCGCGCGATGCTGCACATTTCGAAGGATCCGTCCGCGGCGGCCATGGCACCATTGTTCGAGGTCGACAAGGTTGTTTCAAAGACACTCACCATGCTGGAGAACCAAGCAGAACCGGTGGCGGAAGAGGTCGGTACGGCGGCTGGCGTCACATTGGTCGCAATCGGCCGTGCGATGCGATGGCCAAGGCACCTGCACAAATTGTGCACGCATGCCTTTGCACTCTCTGCAGAGATCGATGTGTCTCAAGAGGCATGGGCAAAACATTTCGAAAATCATGGTCCTGCACCTTACTGGGCTGAGCCGGTCACACACGCCAAGATACCGCCAAAAGGTATGTACCCGCGGTCGCATTGAGGGCGTGAGGTGTGATGCGCTCAAGGCTCGCTCACTAAGACACGGCTTCGCGCTCTTCCCAGCAGCGACGCAGGAAGTGGTCGATGCTCTTTGGCAAATCGGGGACCGTATCATTCGCCTCTTGCACTTACTTGGCAAGTGTGAGTGCAGCACCTTGGCCTTGTGTTGGGCTGTGCCACTTATTCTGACTCTTCATCGCCGACCCCCGCAGCTGGAAGCATGCACTCCCGGACCACCGCTGAGAAGGCTCAACGATATCGAGCCGAGCGCATCGCTTGGGTCCATGCACAGAAGGCTGCACAGCTTCACGGTTGAGCCCGTTTTTTT